TGGCCTCCCTCATTTCCAGACTGTAGCACCATAGAAAATTTCTGGCAATCAATCAAATAGTGCATTCATCAGCGCTGACCATTTCTTACCACCAACGAGTTCCTTCGCATTGTCATTCAAGAAGAATGGGATGCTACTACCACTGAGGAGCTAAGTGAACTAGTTCAATCTATCCCCACTTGTGTTCGGGAGGCAGGCACATCTTTTTATCTTTTTAAAAAATTTATACTAACTATTTCTCTAATCTTTTAATTTAGGTTCAGCTTGCAAAGAGAGGTAATACTGGATATTAAAGACCTACTAAGATATTTTCCTTTTTTTCTTACTATCCTTATCAACTTCTTTATTTATTCTTATAGGCCTATTTTTCTTATTTTCTATTTTTTTTTTTTTAAATGGTAATATGGTTCTTTTACTTTGTGCGTTGTTTGTTTAGTGATGCGATGGTGTTTTCCTACTCAAGCAAATTCATGTCTCACAATACCCCTGTATTCTTAGGTGTGTACGAAAACTTTATCCCTGGCATTTGTAACTCTGCGCTTTGGTTAGCTAGCTCAAAATCGCGTTCGGCCTGTTTGAGGACCCACTTTTTAAGCCCCTTTGCACTATCATACAGGTACTTAGTATCATAACGGTAGCCCACCGCCGCTATTTACTGTACAACTCGGAAAATCCACTATCGATAAGCAACAGAGCTAGACTGCGATAGGCTTAGCCGAGCAAATTGACAAAATTACTGAAGCTGGCTAATGAGATGCACAGGTTTCAACTTGTTCAAGCCATACCACGTCGAGTAGACACTGTTCCCTCTTGAGGTGTTTTGTCTCCGCCGGCGGAGATTAGAGGCAGAGGGGTGGTTGCCCACCTTTCCCCTCTCCTTCTTCCTCCCCTGGGGATCCTTCTATCATACCTGTACGAGTACTAGTACAGTACTTGAATTAACTATTCGAGTACGAGTAGTATCCTACCATAGCTGGCCGGTACCAGGTCCTGCACTCTCACGTGAAACAAAGTGCTGTCATATCTTATCGCCTTGATATCCGAACCTGGGGGACCAAACCCCCAGCTGTCTACCGGTACTCGCACCGCAATAGGATACCGGTACTGCACTCGCGCAGTGTCTGCAGACTCCCGCGATATTAGAGGGATGTCGGAACGTGGGGTTAGCATCGCCATCCCTGCCACAATAGTGTTTACTGTTGTAGCAAGCGTGAGCTTGGAGAATAGGGATAGGAATTTCGTAGGTTCATCAAGAACTTGGTGATGTTTGCTTGTTTCAACAAGAGTTGGGGTGAGATAATGTTGTTTACCGTAATATCATACCTCGTTCAGGATCTCGTGAGGCATAAACCCTAACTGGTGAACCATTGCCATTGCAACAGGCTGGAACGAAGCGAATCACTTGCTCAGGAATCCTTCTCTTCGAGTAGTCCACATCTACAGAGCCGGTATTCCCCGTGCAGTGCTCGAGTGGAGCGCAGTGATGCCTGAGATGAATAAAAAAATGGAAAACTGGGTTAAGAACCGATTGGCTCGACTCCGCTCGAGCCATCAAACGCAACTCCTTGCTCGTATTCCATTTTCCCACCTTTTCACCCACAGGCTGTGCAAGTCCCTACGAGCAGTCTAAACCTGGCACAATGTATCTGGGGGACAGTGGACAGGAGATTAGGTTTTTCTTTTCCTTCGCTTATTGCGTGGTTGTGTGACAATGGCCTTGTTTTCGGGCACTGCGAGTAATTGTCAGGTACCGGTATCGTACTGCACAGAAACTTACCTGTATTCTATTCCACGACGGAGCCAGCCCGCTGCGCAACGAGAATGCCCATACAAATATCATCACCCCTGTTCTACAGCAATTCTATGAATATTAATATGGGTGTTATCCCCTCGCCATGAGCTACTGTACTCAAGGACAGTACTGGGACTCGAGTGCTGGTACTGTATCGTACAGGATCAAGCAGCTCCGATGCCGCTGATTTCGGAAAGGTCATCATCGGCTGGGATCTTTCGGAGAAAAAATTTTCCCCAACAAAGTTTCCCGCAACTCACTTCCCATCCTCCAGCCATGGACCTTACCTCCTCCGTTTGGGGAACCGCACTGAGCCTACCGGTGGGTGGTGTTGAAAGTTTTTCTTTCTCCTTTTTTTTTTTCCTTTTTGGAGAGTATTATTTTGGCAATGTTCAGCTCCGTTGTGATATATCTGGACGTCTAATACGGGGTGATAGCAAGGGAAACATCGGTGTATACTCCTTTTAGGTCCTCCTGAAGGGTTTTGCATACCGTACTCCAGTTAGAGAATTGGGCAGGGCAAGGATGGGACTCTTAACCAAAGCCAATGCAAGGAATCGGGACGACACACAGCAAAACCGCTGGCCCAACATAAGGGAGGTTTGACATTTACTTGGGGCCAACCGTTCTCCCCTGCTTTCATTTCTATTGCTACTCGTATCATACATTACGGTATCTCCTCATGGGGTTAACTTAGCTCTTAGTTTACACCATAGAAAGAGCTCCACAACCACCATTGATCTTGGCCGAAGCCTTGCCGTCCTCTGGTAACTTGATGTGCACAGCACAGTGGATCGGAACTCCGTTTGCTCAGGGGCTACTGGTAGTGAACTGACGACCACTGGGAAGACTTGGGTGGTTGGGCCGTGTCGTTGGGTTTTCCTCTCTCTGTAAGGTCCGGTGATTTTTTTTTTTTTACTCTCTAAAGAGAGAGGGGCTCTTCGTTTATTGTGTTTTTTAGCCCACTTTCTGGAGAAGGGAACCCTCGACTGCTTGCAGTGATGCGCATCATTGGTTATATTTACTTGTAGGGGTCAGGTGTGATATAAAATAGATGGCCAAAATTAATGGTATGATACTCGAGTATAGTTCACTGCAGCAAGCCCGTCTGGAAATATGCATGCCTTCCATAGCTCGATGCCTAGGAAGGAATTTCTTCTTTTCATAGATGTACTGATATTGGACGGGAGGCCGGGTATGGAACTGCACCTCGCCATTCGGTCATAATTCTTTAGAGCTGACTGAGGCTGGGGGGAATAGGGTTGAGATCCTGTCGAGGCCACGCTGCTCAGCTGTGCTCGAGTTTGGCACGACACCGCCGCTCTCGAAACTCTGGCTATGCACAGCGCTATCATTTCATCCCTGACCCTTGTATTATACTCTGGTATTCTTGCCGCTGACGCTGCATATCTGGGCGGACGGACTGCCGGTGGACCACTACTGCAGTGTCGTGACGTTTGTGAAACGGACTGCTATTGCATACAGCCAAAAACTGGCCAGTGCCTCGGAATTTTGGTAATATGCAATAGCAGTCCGTTTTGCAAACGTCCCCTCTCGTGATGGATGGATCACTGAGAGCTTACCGATAGCTAGGAGCTTGTACGGTCCCGTTTCCGGAGGTGGTCTAAAGGGTGGAACTTCTAGTACTTTATGAAAGTTATCCAGGACACCTGTCTTACTGATCGAGTGCTATCGCGAAAAGCGCATCACTGGGTTGAGTATTAATTGTGAAATGGGGGTTATATCTTCACCCGGTGCCTGGGTATGACAAGTAACGCTTGTTAGATTATTCACTGGGTTCGACTATCGCTCGCTCACACCCGACACCACGTCATACCCACGCGAGATACAATACCACCTTGACCACTCCTCCCGCCTAAAGCTAATCCGATAACTTGTAGCATCACCCTTGCACGACCTCGTATCTCCTTCGCACTACAAAATGCTTCTGAGCGGGTGTCTATTGCGGTTTTAGAAGCCACGAGGAGCGGCAAGGAGAAATATTGAAAGAAATCGCGCTCCCTAGCTTATCTTAAACGTCCCCCCGGCAATGGCGATGGCATTATTCCCGGATTAAACGTTTATCACTGGAGTTATTCTCGCTTTTTAGGGTCAGCCGTTGATTTTTTTGAAGGCTAAATGGCCCCTCCAAGTGTTCTATCTCCTTCTTCACGTTCTGCCAGCGAAGGGAGTTGTGGTCTGTTTTTTTCCATTTTTCGTTGAAACGCTGTTGGGATGTGAATGGTGGCTTGAGGTGGCGAGTAGTCGCTGTCGTTCTGGAGGTCAGAAATGGGCGCTAGGTGGTGTCTGGGGCACGAGTGGTGGTGGTGTTGAGGGCTTTCTTGGTGGGGATATATGATATAAAGTATGATATGATGATACGGTATGATAGGAGGATGAAAAGTAAAATTGGACATGACGGGGCTTTGTCTAGGCCCTCCCAGATATTCCCCAACGTGTTTCCATCATAACTAGCGCTGGCATCCTCCGCCCTGGGAAAAGGTTGAGTGATAGGATGCGGTCTGTGGAAGAGATTTAGGTTACCTAATCATTTAGGACCTGTCTGGTACGCCTTGCTTAGAGGGGGGGGCTTTGGAATCGGTATGCTGGGGTGGAAGTCTTGCAGGATAGATCAAAGCGGGGGTCTTGAAATCCCAGACCCGGACCGGCATCTGCAGAACGGATTACTCGAGCAGACAACTGACCTGTTTCGCAATCGCACACTTAAAAAACATTTTAGTGACCATGGCCTTTGCTCAACCTTGCCTTGACTCTGCGCGATTGATATCGGGTGCACTTTACGAATAATATTATCGGAACGGTGGTATTTGGAGTGGATTCTGTACCTTACTGTACACACGAGCGAGATCTCTTGTCTCAAGGGCTTCCAACTACCCACCGCTAGTACCCGAATATCACATCGCTAGAAGGTAAACATAAAGTGGAGTGTAATAGCTAAGCCGAAAACACATATCGTGGAAGCAACGCCCCTCATCAAAGCCCTCCCCCACCTCCCCCACCTTAGCTACCATTGAATATTGAGCCACCCACGAGTGACGTATCATGAACCTGCTAGCATATTTCCAAAAAAGAGGAAAACGGATAAACACCAAATCCCAATTCTAGTACGTACTCGAGACCTATAATACACTTCAAAACTAGCATACAACTCCCGATACCACACCCCTCAGATTATCAGACAAGCTTGCTACTCAAGTGACCCTAACTTAACCTCCTCCCTTTGTCTCCTTTTCCGCTCCTTAGCCTCCGCCCTCTCCTTCCTCCTCTGCTCCTTCCTCCCCTCCTCGAACCGGCGCACAGTGCCGTGCTTCACGCGGGTGATAATGTCCCCGACCTTGCCCTTCGTGAGTGTTCCCGCCTTGCGCATGTCCTCCCAATCCTTGTCGTGGCGATACTTCTTCAGGAACTCGAGCTGCTGATCCGTGGCGGGGAGTTTGCGCCATTCAGAGCTGCGCGCCACTAGTTTTCTGGGGTAGGTATTCAGGGTGTAGGTGTCTGCATGGTTAGGTTTGTGGGCATAGAAATTGGGGGAAGGAGAAATAATACCAGCACCCCTGATGACTGCGTCTAGATGCTCGATACCAGACATGACGAGCTTTGGCCGCGCCCACCCCCTGAGCCCCATTTCTGGCGGTAAAGCGCGGAATTCTTCCACTTTGTACCACCCGCTATGGTCCCTTTCCACCGTGATGTATCCATTCCGGGCACAACTTAAAACGTACTTACCCGGATAGATGGAAACCCACGCCAACTTGCTCATTGTATAGATAACTTGATCGGCGCGACTGTCGCTCAGCAAGTCCCAGATGCTGTCGTAGTCTGTGTATTCTAGTTGAATCGGCGGTGGCGGTGGGGTAACGGCCAGAACTGCAAGGTTGAGTTTTTCGGCAGCGATGGCTCGGAGATGTTTCTCCTCCTCGGCGATTCTGTTCTCGGCTGCTGCAGCGAGTTCCTTCCCTTGCTTTTTGGCCTCTTCCATTTCTTTCTCGGCCTGCTTGAGTTCTTTCTCCGATACTGCCTGCTGGACCTTCATTCGTGATTGCTCGGCGATTTTCACTGCCTCCTCCTGTGCGGCCCTTCTCTTTTCCTCCTTCATCCTCTGAATCTCCTCCTCGAGCTTAGCTTCTTCTTCCCTCCGACAATTGGCTTCGGATTGCAATTGCTCATAACGAAGGCGCTTCTCCTTTTCCTCGGCTTTCTGCCGCGCTTCTGCTTTTTTGGCTGCCTCGGCGCGCATTTGGTCTGGTGTCATTTCAGAGATTATCATGTCCGGATCTAAACCGAAGAGTGTTGGCGCTGTAGCAATTCCGCGGGAGAGGTTTGCTACCATGTCAATTATGTGGCAATCGGTTTTCCCCGTACCCTCCGATTTGCGCAAGCCTCTACCGATCATTTGCGTGATCAGATTTTTCGAACGGGTCGGACGCGCGAGTATTACACAATCGATGTTTGGAATGTCGGTTCCCTGCCTATCATTAATACGCTCGATCAACCTTCGGGGGAGCAAGGAGAGGTTGGGGAGGTACTTCAGTAAAAACACCGCAGTTAACCAACACAGGAAATTTCCCAGCTTTGAACTCTTCCAGGCACTCCCGACGGGTTTGGATTAAGGTTCTGCTGGTGACTTCCCGTGCGTTAATACCATTTTTGCGGAATTTATCCATTACTGAGCGTACATGCGCTATGTCGACACAGAATACTAGGGTTGATTTACGCTCTGCTGTCAAGATATTAGTAGGTGGTTGGGTGTGGGTAAGGAAGAAGTACATGCTCGGTCCTTCCAGGTTTGTATGATAATATCGTTTGCCGTATCAGTGTTGACAGCTCGCCCAAGTCCCTTTATATCAAAATCTCCGTTTCTATCCTTGACCCCCTCTAAGTCTACACTTGAGCTCACAGTTGTAAAGCGTGGAGGAGATAACCTATTCCAATTAGCCAGCGCCCATAGTAACAACCCCACTGAGAACAAACCATTCATGCTCAATCATAGTGGCAGAGTCCCTGCGCACACATCAGCCCCGGTCCATCCAACCTCCGCTTCAAGAACACCCACATGTGAAAAACCAGCTTATCCATCACTTTCCCCAAGCTCACCCCATCAAATCTCGAAACCGTAGCGCTGACGCCCACAACAATCGGCGTCCTCTCATTGACGTCCATAGCCTGGAAATGCGTGAGGACCTTCAAATACGACGGCGAAACCGCATGATGGCACTCATCGATCAATATAAGCTTGTATAATTCCGCATCGTACTTTTCCAGCCGGTTTATAATAGATTGTACCGATGCAATTATTATATCTGCCCCCACGTTCGCGTGTGAGGTACCCATTTCTATGGCGATGACCTTCTCCGGATACTGCTTTTCGCACTGCTTCGCTGCCTGGTGGACAAGTTCCCGGCGGTGTACTAAAATGAGTGTTTTTTCGGCTTCTGGGCGCGCGGGGTGAGTTAGGCGGGATATTAGCTCTGTGAAGATGACCTATCACCACAAGTAGCACACATTGATCTTGTGAGTTTATCACTCGTTTGGGGGAAGGAGAATAAGAGAAGGGGGGAATACTGTTTTCCCCCCACCAGTAGCCAGTGAAATTGCCATTCTTCGCTCACCCTCATTCATACTCGTCAGAATAGCTCGAACGCAGTCCTCCTGGTAATCCCGTAACTTTATACTCTCAGAATTCCATGCCCGCTGGGGTAGCCATGAGAGTGCGAATGTCGGTAGAGAAGAGGGAGTTGGTCGGTAGAGCGAAGGCAAGAAGAGATTGGAGAAGGCGCGGGTACACTGTAGTGCCCTCCTCATGTCGTATATGGCGAGGAGGGAGCACGAAATGGAAGTCTTTTAAGGGTTCTTCTGGTGTTTTCACGATCCAATTGGTGAGAAGGATATGGTCTGTGGTATTTTGGGGGGGAATGCTGAAATCTTATCAGTCACGTGATGCGGCTACCGTAAAAACACGAAAATGGCGGTAGGACGTTGGAGTTCCCCCTCCTTATAACGTCCTTTGGCTTGTTTCTTTTTATTTATCTCAGCTGAGGCCAGAATGATATTTTCTGTGGGTTTTTTCCCCCTAATCCAAAAGGGGAAATTCTGGACGTCCTAGCGCCATTCTCAGCGATTTCGTGGTATCATAGTTTGTTTGTTGCCCCTCGTGTCTGTGGAGGAGTGGGGGTTAGCACGGGGTATTCCGCCTGAACCATTGGGTCAAACGCTGGGGTCTGGTTAAGGGTTAGGAATTGGACTCGTTACGAGAAGTATCACAGTATGATATATTATGATAATATGATAATATTATTATGATAGGAACATTCCCGACCAGATGCGGTGCGCTGGGGGTTAACATTCTCTAAACGTCATCTCGGAGTTTGAACCAGGAATCGAGTGATATCAGGTGCCTCAAATCCCTCGACTGGTAAGATGCTCGTAAACCACAAACAATAAATAAACACACCATCAGACCCAGCCACCACCAATTATCTGCGAATGTAAACAGGGAAGCGGGACATCACCGGGAAGCTGGACAGCACAACCAAATTTCAAAAGTAGCCATAACTCCACCAGTCCCCAACCAAATTGAATAAAATAAAAAGGAATCAATTTACAAATTGTATGGGAAGGTATCTTTGAATTAAAATTAATTAAATAAGAAAACAATGCTAAAGAAAACTCATGAAAAGGTGAAAAAAGGTCAATTAGAGGCAAAGTAAGAAAAGGCAAAAAGCAAAGGCTTTGGATCACATAAAACCATGAAGTATGGATTACTGTATAGTATTGTATTGGTATGAATAGTATGGGTAGGCTTCGTTACGGGGCCCCGTTTCTCAGGAGCGGGGACAAAATAACCTCGGTTAATCTCATTAACTGGGAAAAAGAATCAGCCAAATCGGACCAAAACTAACCGAGATAGAGCTATTTGAAGTTGTTCAACTTCAAAGAGCTATAACTCACTCAGTTTTAGTCTGATTTAGATGATTTTTTTTTTAACTTGAAGTTAATAACCTGGTCTTGGCATCCCGTTCGTCGGAAACGGGGCCCCGTAACGAAAGCTAAGTATGGGAGATGATATTTAGAGTTTGTAAGAGTAGTAAGACAATAGAGTAGGTAAGATGAAGAGGAATTTTATAGTATTCTAACTACTTGTAATAGTAACACTTTTAGAAAAGAATCAGTACAACATAAGATGGATAGTAGATAAGATGAAGTTGGTATAAGGTTATTGCACTTCTAGGGCTCAAATTAGTATAATTTAAATTGTTTTATACTAAAGCAAAATATTCTTTTAGTAATTCTATATCTAGTATTTTATCACATATTATCTATTTCAAAATAGTTAATTGCTCCTACCATACTACTGTCATGAATGTGGCTTAGTGAGGAAAGGATTTTCACATAACTCATAGTTATGAGTTATAGGTATATTATGAGGTAGGTTGTTAGAAATACTGGGATCCGATACCTAAGAACTATCCTAAATAGGGTAACCTCACTCAAAATCAGAATCTCTGGAAAAGAATTTGACTACAGGAGAAAAACATGAAAGAAAGACTACAAATTGCATGTTATTATGATCAGAAAAACGAAGAATTGATGGATATCTGAGCAAGTACTAGTCCCTACTCTGAGAGCTCTTACAAAGATTTTCTCAAGGGCATCTATAGTGATGAGTCTTTGGTATAAAAGTCTCCCAATTTACCAAATAGATGGGTTTTTCGACTCCTAAAGGATAAATGGAAAGTATGGACTGTTAACAAAAGTGAACATGTTAAATCTTCCCTCTCCTTTATGGAATGAGAGGCTATTTGGAAAGGGGGATGGTTAGAATAAAAGGTTCTGCGACAAGATGAGGACTATCCGAAGAACGAATAGTGTACATATTCCTATATCAAAGTCTTGGAGGAAGGTTTATCGCCCCACTATGTCCCCGGCAGTTTTTCTTTTGTAAGATAATGTAAAAATTCATATTGCAAAGGTCACCAAAGAGTAGTTGGAGTCATATAGAATCTGGGTATCTAAACACCCTCCTCACAGCCCAGATTTAAACCCAACTGAGCATGTGTAGAAGGTGATGAAGAGTATCCTTTGAAAGGACTATGGATACTTGAAAGATCTTAAAGACAATACCGAGAGTAGGATGATTTTTGTTGCAGCACTGAAGAGGGTATAGTGGACGGTCCCCTAAGTGTTAATTAACCGCCTGATTGATTCAATGCCTAGGCACTACTACGCAGTAAGAAGAAATCTAGGTTGGTATGCAAAGTATTAAACACCATGGCAATAGCTATCTGTCTGTATTTTTCTTGTCTTTTTAACTAAATTTTTGGTTGTGCAATTAATTAATTGAAATCATGGTTGGGTTATGTGGTAAAGGTGTGAGTGGGGTGTGTGTACAGACTTATTAATCATAACTGTATTATTTATGCCTTTATGAATATAAAACACCCTTACGATATTTATTACTATTAAAATGGAATGAACTTTACACAAAGTAGAGTGAGAAAAAGCTTACGATAGGCTTTATATATAGAAGACATTGGTCTTGTACTATTAGTAATGTAGGCCTAGGCCTAAGAGCTATCGTATATGAAAGAAAGAAGAGAAGTATCATTTCCTGTCACTAAGTATTAACAACCCTAGGGGGAATCATTACCACTACTTATAAAGCTACCATAATATCACTTTTTTGTAATAAAATCTTTATTTTACTAGCACTTTGCTCCTATTATATCTATTTACCATAGATATTAAATATTTTTAGAAATGACAATTTACAAATATTTGTACAATTGTTTCTATTGCTATTGAAATACATTGCCACAAGCTGAGTACTTATTTTTGTAAATAGATGATCTATCAATGTAGATTATATAGCGACCGTATTTTGGAATTTGACTTAATTTCTTACTTTTTACATATGATTTCTAACCTTTTGATAATATTTTACTATATCTTTATTACCATGACTGGAAAAAATCCTAGGATCAAACTTTATAAAGTAGTTTCTAATATTGAATAATTTAAATCTTCTGATAGACTAGAGTTAAAATTCAAGTTGTGGAAAAAGTCTATTATATTAGCAGTGGAAAGGCTATATCTGTTCTCTACAATCCAGATTAACTTTATCTAATTTCTGCTTATGGTATTACCAGAATAGAGATAGTTTGCATATGGGGAATGTAAGAAAATAGAAATTAGAATAAGAGTATACAAAAAGCTAGTCTAATACTCACCAGTAGTGGAAAATAATTTAAACTATATAAATATAAAGCTCAGAAGAATACAGGCCTTATAATACTTTTACTTTACTGGTTTTTAGTCTTATCTTGTTCTTTATTCTTTCAAAAATTGTTACAATCACTTGTAATTATAATACTATCAAATTATCTACTATCTTTTCTACTACATTATCTCACTAGCTTTATCAACTGTAAGTATTGCTCTCCATTATTATTTCAAATAGTAGAAGTTTGCTTAATATTACTTTTTAGATAGTTTTATGTGATTTAAAGCCGTTACTTTTTGTCTTTTCTGACTTTAACTATTGTTGACCTTTTTTTAACTTTTTATGAAATTTCTTTAACTGTCATGGATATGATAGAATTTCGCACATGACTAGATTACAAGTCATAGGTCTCACACATATGACTTACTCGAGTCATATGATTTGTTTATGTCATGATTTGTTATGTTTTCTACATGACTCAATTACGAGTCATAGGATTTTACACATATGACTCACTGACATTATATGATTTGTTTATGTTACAAGATGATTTATTATGTTTCGCACATGACTCAATTATGAGCTATTGCTAGAAATACTGTAATCTAATACCTAGTAACCATGCTAAGTAGGGTAACCTCACTCAGAATCAGAATTGCTGATCTCCAATAACCCCCTCCGGCCCCCCTTATAGGGCCCACACGTCATCATACATACTTATATCAGTAGTATCCTGTGAATATAAAACCACAGTCCTTCAGGTCTAAGACAAACACTATACATGTCACTGTCTTTCCAACCAGATCCTGTTCGCAGGATATATTGGAGAGGACCATCGGCTAGGTCTGGAAACTGGAATAGAGTGAATCTGTCAACTACTCAGAGAGTTATTAGGCTTCCAAGATGTGACAACTTTGCAAGAGCTGTAGGTAACGGGACATTTTTGCATAAAGATATGGTATCAAATGTTAAAGGATTTCTATGAGAGACTAATACATTCTTACCCACCCTATGATAATATTAGGTGGAGACATCCTGATAACTTCAGTGTTGTCCAAGCCAATCAAAATTGGTTTCTGTAGATGGAGATTATCTAAAAAGGCTTGGACTTTACTTATTTCATTTATGACAACTAAGAGTGAAGTAAAATATGTAAAGTAGAATTGAATAGTAAAAACAATATTATATTGTTAAGATCTCTTCTCTGTTGCTTGATGATATCTAAAGCTTGAAAGGCACTTCGATATTTATATTCTGCATCTTAGTGTTTGCGGACTACATCTATTTATTATACAACTATGTACCTCTCTGATTATAACTTGCAATGTTTGGTATTCTTAAAAGGTGTAAATACCAGGAGACCCAGAAAATCACCACATCCTCTTCAGCAATTACAACATAACTAACTGGGAATCCTACTATTCCCAATAGTAATTATCTGATCATTAGAGTCTTTAGACTTATAGCCTAATTCTCAAGTCGAACTGACTTGGCTCCAATTGTCTTTGTCATTGATAAAAGGATCAGTTTTATCAGTGAGTTGTATCTGCAAAGGTAGTCATAATCCCAATCTTTCTATATTGCCAGACTTCAAACCTTTATAACTACTTACCCAACCCATAGATATCTTCTGGAAGACTTTCTACTAATATGCAGGAAGCTATTCTACCTAATTGAGAAATTATTCCTTGATTGGCA